GCGCATCACTGTGTCTGTGTGTCTCTGTGTCAGTCTATGTGCGCCTGTGTGTGTATATCACTGTGTCTGTGTGTCTCTGTGTCACTCTCTATGTGCGTCTGTGTGTGCGCATCACTGTGTCTGTGTGTCTCTGTGTCAGTCTATGTGCGCCTGTGTGTGTATATCACTGTGTCTGTGTGTCTCTGTGTCACTCTCTATGTGCGTCTGTGTGTGCGCATCACTGTGTCTGTGTGTCTCTGTGTCAGTCTATGTGCGCCTGTGTGTGTATATCACTGTGTCTGTGTGTCTCTGTGTCACTCTCTATGTGCGTCTGTGTGTGCGCATCACTGTGTCTGTGTGTCTCTGTGTCAGTCTATGTGCGCCTGTGTGTGTATATCACTGTGTCTGTGTGTCTCTGTGTCACTCTCTATGTGCGTCTGTGTGTGCGCATCACTGTGTCTGTGTGTCTCTGTGTCAGTCTATGTGCGCCTGTGTGTGTATATCACTGTGTCTGTGTGTCTCTGTGTCACTCTCTATGTGCGTCTGTGTGTGCGCATCACTGTGTCTGTGTGTCTCTGTGTCAGTCTATGTGCGCCTGTGTGTGTATATCACTGTGTCTGTGTGTCTCTGTGTCACTCTCTATGTGCGTCTGTGTGTGCGCATCACTGTGTCTGTGTGTCTCTGTGTCAGTCTATGTGCGCCTGTGTGTGTATATCACTGTGTCTGTGTGTCTCTGTGTCACTCTCTATGTGCGTCTGTGTGTGCGCATCACTGTGTCTGTGTGTCTCTGTGTCAGTCTATGTGCGCCTGTGTGTGTATATCACTGTGTCTGTGTGTCTCTGTGTCACTCTCTATGTGCGTCTGTGTGTGCGCATCACTGTGTCTGTGTGTCTCTGTGTCAGTCTATGTGCGCCTGTGTGTGTATATCACTGTGTCTGTGTGTCTCTGTGTCACTCTCTATGTGCGTCTGTGTGTGCGCATCACTGTGTCTGTGTGTCTCTGTGTCAGTCTATGTGCGCCTGTGTGTGTATATCACTGTGTCTGTGTGTCTCTGTGTCACTCTCTATGTGCGTCTGTGTGTGCGCATCACTGTGTCTGTGTGTCTCTGTGTCAGTCTATGTGCGCCTGTGTGTGTATATCACTGTGTCTGTGTGTCTCTGTGTCACTCTCTATGTGCGTCTGTGTGTGCGCATCACTGTGTCTGTGTGTCTCTGTGTCAGTCTATGTGCGCCTGTGTGTGTATATCACTGTGTCTGTGTGTCTCTGTGTCACTCTCTATGTGCGTCTGTGTGTGCGCATCACTGTGTCTGTGTGTCTCTGTGTCAGTCTATGTGCGCCTGTGTGTGTATATCACTGTGTCTGTGTGTCTCTGTGTCACTCTCTATGTGCGTCTGTGTGTGCGCATCACTGTGTCTGTGTGTCTCTGTGTCACTATGTGCGCCTGTGTGTGTATATCACTGTGTCTGTGTGTCTCTGTGTCACTCTCTATGTGCGTCTGTGTGTGCGCATCACTGTGTCTGTGTGTCTTTCGGTGTGCACTGCATGGTTCCCCTCATCTCCCAGCTCTGCAGGCCCCAATGCCATGGCTCAGAGACCTACTGTTTCCAGTGGGCCTGAACTGCCAGCCATCTCAGCTACCCTGAAACCCTGCTCCTGACCCCACACAGATTACCCCACACCACCTACCCTACCTGGTTGGATTCTGGCCTCCTCTGAATGAGGCTGGCCCCTCTTTTCTGGAGATCTGTAGCATATAACAGGGGAGCCAGGGAGGACACTTGGTTCCTCTCCCAGGGCTGCTGCTGTGGTTTGTGTCTCAGTAGCCCTGGTTTCATCAGTCAATATCTGTCTTGGAAGAGTGAAGCTGAGAGAGTTCCGTGAGACCCTCTCTGGCGACCCTACCCGAGGCTGTTCTACCACAACTCCTCTGACTTACTGTTGCAGGCCCAGGAGAGACGGGGTGGTGTGCCAGGCAGCCACACTGATGTTTGGGAAATGCCAAGGATAGAGCCCAGCATGAAGGCATGCCAGGCAGGGACAGGGCTGTGGTGCTGGAGCCTCGGGCAGCAGGTGTACCCAAAGAAGCCCACTGACCAGCAGCATGAGAGGTCACAGGACCAGCGGCCTGCTGAAGTCCCAGCTCTATGTCAGCGCCATGCTCTGCCCCCATTGCTCGCTCCGGGGTAACCTGGGGGTCTCCTAGGATCCTAAAACATGTCTCCTTCTGAGTTGCCCCTGGTCCTGGAACTCGCAAAGATGCAGCCAGTCTAGAACCCAGCAGAGTAGAGAAACTCTAGAATGAGAACCAAGTCTGACTCTTAACCTCCTGCTTGACTTTAGGTAAGCCATGAGCTCTCTAGGCCTCAGTTTCCCCATATGTAAAACTAGGTGGTCTGCATAGGTCATTTCTAGTCCTTCTGTTTGTTTTTTCCTTCCCTCACTCAGTCAACAAACATCCACCAAGGCCTCCCAGTCTATGTTGCATGCAACTGAACGACAGGGACCTCAGTGCCTGCCCAGGAGGCAGACTTCATACCACAGTGGCAGAACTTCCTCAGAATTAGGGGGTCAGTGCTGGGTGCCAGGAATGCACATGGGTCAGAAACATACCTCACAAGGAGAAATCAAGGTTTCCTGGAAGATGGGGTTTTGAGATGAGCCTCCAAGGTAAGAGGAGGTTTCCTAGCAGGTTGAGGGTAGGAAGGGTAAGGAGACGTAACAGTTAGGTCTCCTGGCCAACCCTGCAGTCCAGACAGACCCAGACCACCCTGGACAAGAGTGTTGCCTAGGGTGTGGGCAGCTTTCAAAGGCAGGCCAGTGCCCCTTTACCTGAGGCCATGACTGCCCCTCCCTGGCCAACCAGGCCCATTGTCCTTATGTGTTCTGGGCTTGTGACCTCCTGGAGGTGCTGTCTCAGTACCCCTGCACCCACCAATCCTGGACCCCAGCACACACAGGGCAGCTGGCGGGAGCGTTTTCTCTCAGCCATCACTCTCAGTGGCTCTGCTAGGAAGCTCACATGAAAAATGAAGAGGTCTGAGCAGCAGAATAGGGGTAAGCAGCACAGCCAGCGGGCATGAGGAGCCCATAGCACAGAGCGAGCCCACGCCAGACTGCCCTGAACTCTAGACAGCACACCCCTCTGGCCATGCTTCCTGTTACACAGTTCTTGAGGCACTGGGTTTTTCTAGTCTCTGCTGGGGTCTGCCCCCCACCACCACACCCACACACACATACCTCAGCCCAGTCTCTCTCAGCCTCAAGGTTTCTTGGCTGTACCATCAAAATGCAGTGAATCACTCTTCTTGTCTCCTCTGCTATCTCTGCTACCAGAGTCAGAGCTCCCTGGTCTGTTCCCTGGTTGGTCCCCTATGATGGCCTGTGCTGTCCTTGGTCCCCCATGAAGCAGCCAACAATGGCCTCACAACCCCAGGAATAGGTAGCTCCTCCCAGACCTGTGGGCCTCATCCTATCACACTGGCTTGTGGGTATTCTCAACAGCCCAACCTCCAGTCTGATCCCTCCCTCCCTCCCTCCCTCCCTCCTCCCTCCTCCCTCCTTCCTTCCCTGTCCCTGTCCCTGTCCCTGTCCTTCTCTCCCCTTCCACTATCTCTACAACCTCCCTGGCCACCCTCCCAAAGGCACAAACACCATTCCAAACTGGTAGTCAGTTCTCTGGGCACAAGTGTGCCACACATTCTCTTTGCTGGGTAAGCAGGCTGTCATGACTCGTCCTGGTGAGACTGTGTGGGGCCATATGAGTCTCTAACAGTGAGTGGAGCGATGTGTATCACTGAACTAGAGCATTTGGATACCAGTGCTGGGCCTTCTCTGCTCCCTGTCATATAATCCTGTCAACCTGGTCCCTTAGCAAGGACTGTAGGGCAGGGCAGAAGCAACCCAGGATGGACATGTGCTATCAGTGAAAACAGTAGGCAGCACCCGTGTCATAGCCCACTGGAGTGGGGCCTCAGTTTGCCACTGCAGAACAGCCAGGCCCATCCCTACTGGTGCACTCTTGGTGTCTCCTGTTTTCTACTGGGTTCTCCTCTTTATGTCCACATTCCTTGCCCTGTGTCTGTCTTACTGATTGTACTCTTTATTTCCCGGGTGAGCCCCACGCTCTGTGCTCCCTGCAATCTACAGCACACAGCAGGTGCTTAATAAATGCACATTGGGTAAGTGAAAGGAAGACAGACTATACTTCCTGCATTTTCAGCCCACTGGGGCCGGCTTCCCAGAGGACTCCTTCTACAAGCCCTGGTCTGCACTGGACCTGGGCTCCTGGGTCTGGGCAGATCTGCTCCAGACTAAGGGGGTTAGGGACACCAGAACACACGGCACACTGCACCTGAATCCCATTGCCCAGCATGGCTCAAAAGAGTCTTTTATTAAACATCTGGGGAGATGCAGCAGCAGCCCAGGCACAAGTAACCTAGGAAAATCCTCAGCCTCCCCTAAATAGGCGCCCCTTAAACACACAGCATTTGAGAAGATACAAGCACAGCCTTGCCCCCACTACTGCCTCTTTGCGCTCTCACTTATACATCCCACGTATAAACATGCCCTCTGTCGCGCCCACACATCGCACACTAGCACACACCTCCCACATGACCAACCACTCCATCATAGACCGCCCCCTCTCATGGAGTAAACAGTGGTTCTGCGCCCAAGGCTAGGGAAGGATCCACGGTCGCCACACCTGTCTGGTCCTGGGCAGGCCCTGCTTTCTCCCCCATTCCCTGGTTTGTAAGTGCTGCCAAGGAGGGTCACCGGCATCAGCAAAGGCTAAGAGGGCAGCCGCAGCCTGGGTGCGGCCCACATGGCGGCAGGTGCCCCAGTAGAGACCCGATGAGGGACTTGCAGTGCCTCCGCAGGGCGGGTGCCCTCCGGCCCTGGCCAGAGACGTCCTGGACCTTTGCGAGGCTTCGCAAGCTCAGGGGCGCCCCGCGGTCCTGCAGGTCCAGACACTGATCCCGTGGTCGCCTCCCAGACCCGGTCCCGCCCTGCCGCAGCCCTACCTGGGGCTCCAGAAACATCCTGGCTGCCTGCTTCGGTTATCCCGGATCCGCCCCGGGAGCCGCGACTCCTCTCTGTGCGTGGGGCCAGCGCCGCCCCAGCCCGGGACTTCCCGCCCGCGGGTCCCGCCACCTCCGGGCCCCAAGGGCGGGGAGCCGGCAAGGAGCAGGGCGGGGCAAGACCCGGTGAGCCGCGGCTAGCCAGGGACCCGGCTGTACGCGTGGGCAGGGCGCACGGTCCTGGCGCACCGTCCTGCCGCTGGGTTTGGGGATGGCGCAAGGCTCGCGGTTCCGCACAGGGTTGGGTGGTGCTGGCGATGCCGGGCGATGGTCCCAGGCTCCTCCTGCTGGTCTCACCCAACGACACCTTATCCTAGAGATACACCGGGAAGCTACAGCAGGTGCCCCGGCAGCGCTAAGTTGAAATGCCTCCCCTGTCGGGCACTCGCTCTACACAGCTCTGGTCTGAAGTGCCTTAAAGAACTCTGTCCTTCCATCTCCCCCGGTGAACACCAGGGACACAGCTAGCAGCTACTGCTGTGGGATGGCTAATCTGACAGGCGGTGGGGACACGCGGGGCACGTGGCACACCGTGCGATCTCACTCTGCTCAGGAACCCCAGCACTAGGAAAGCATCCTGCCCCCTGCCGAGTCGCTGTCCCTTACACCGCGTCCCTGCGATGGCCTCCCACCCCCACCCCAGTCCCCAGTGTTTAGATGGCAGAGATGGACTGGACCCAAGAGAGCCCTCTCTCAGGGATCTGGGATGGGGGAGACAGAGGCTGAAGGCAGGGAGAGCTGGGGCTGGTTCTGGGAGTCAGGACTAGTGGCCTCTGCCACCACGGGGGGCGCTGAGGGAAAACTCTTAGCTAGAACTTACAGGCAGGGGCAGATGATGTTCAGAGGGGCTGAGACAATCCTGTAAGAGAACTCGAGCAAGTCGCTGTGCCCAATGGACAGTGAGGACCCGACTGTATCCAGCCAGGTCAAGATGCCCATTCCCCATCCCACCCTGCCTGTGCTCTCCTGCCGTCTCTCTTTTCTTCCCCTCCTCCTTCATCCACTATTTCACCAGCAGCAAGAGCAGCCACCAAGCTGTCTCCTGGATAGTGATTTGTCTTGAGGAATTCTCACTATGCTGGGCCATTCGTTGGCCTCCCCTAAGAGGACAGGAGGGCTTAGAGACACAGAAGTTCTCATGAGCTGTGCCCATCCCTACTTCTCTGCCAGTCTGTGCTAGACCCTGGGGCTAGACCTCACTTTTCAGGGGCTCCAGAGGCTGTACCGTTCATAACCTCCTGGAACAGTTCCACAGATGGGCAGTGAGGGGAGGCTCCAGCTTTCACACTGTCCTCCTTCCATTTCTGTGTCTTAGTGGAGCTTTTCATCCGGAGGATGCAAAGCTCACAGTGGCCTCTGCTGGTGAGTTCTGGAGATCCATCCGGGCTCTCAGCTGCTGGCCTCCACAGCCATTCCCTCCCTTCATATTGCTCTAGTATCATGGAGTCCTACCTCTAGGTGGGCACCTGCCTTCCTTAGCCCTGTCCCTTGACCCTATAGGATATCTGGCACTAAGATGGCCATGGCATTTCTCAAGACGTCCATGTGGACAGTTAACAGACCTACTGCCACTTGCTCCAAAGTCAGCTTTCTCCACTGCCCCTTTGGACACGACAGTCCTCAGGCTACAGGAAGGACCTGGTTGGGGATGTCTTCCAGTATGGTCTCAGACTCACTTCCCGTAGTGCTCATCCACAAATGTCATCAGCATTACCCAAGATTATCAGTGAGGTAGATGCTTCCCCGAGCATCTGTCTGCCCCCATCTCCAGCAGACAGATGAAGCTGTCTCCTTGGTCACGGGTGTGACCTCAGTATCTGTATATATATATCGATCCACATCCTTCCTAGTGCCCAAGGAGCTGGGAAAGCTGACAGGCCAAGGGCCGACCCCTGTCCAATGTCCTGCTTAAAGCTGTGGGTGAAGTAGTTTTCCAGGTAGGCTTGTGGGGTCTGACAAAGAGCCCATTTCCCTTATTAGACTGAGCTCTGGAAAGTGGAAAAATCAGGTGTGATGTGGTCAGTACACATCGGCTGGGGCTACTGAAAGGCAAGGCACATAGGAGAGGTGCCTTCCTTGCTCAGACAATGAGTGCTGTTCATGAGGGCTGGAACAGTCTTTGACCATTACAGGCTACTGTGAGGATGGCAGACCAAAGAGCAAGGAAGCCTGGTTCTGGGATGACAGTGACCTGGGCCATCCTTCTAAGCACAGGACAGAATGCTGGGCCACAGCAACAAGGTTCTTAATGACTGTCTGCCCTTGTAGGTAAAGGAATCCCATTAGAACATGAGTCAGGTCCAAGCCCTCTGCTTATAATCTACAATATCTCAGTCCTACACAATGAGAACTAGAGTCCTGGGGCTGCAGGGCTCTGACGCTAGCTCCCTGACCTGGAACTCAACTTCCCAGGTGTGGGGGCTCCCCCTTAGGACTCTGCCGACGTATCACTTTCTCAGTGACGTATCTACAAGGTTGCCTTCCATCCCAGCACTTCTTCCTCACCTTCAACTTTCTCCTCCTCAATGTGACATCATCTTTCCACTTTTTTATTAGTCTGGTCTAAAAGAACATGGGTACCATAGAGTGAGTGAGGCCTTTATCTGCTCATTGCTCAACTCAGTAACTATAACATGTTTGCCTAGAGGACACACAGGACCTAGCTGCAGAACATCCATGTGTAAACATTTCTGTGTGTATACAGAAACAGGTGTGGGTTTGGAGTTGGGACAGGGACGGGGATGAAGTTGTAGACAGTGGTCCTGATGCATATGGACACAAACATAGAAATGGATTTAAACACAGATATGGATAGAGATTTAGACTGCAATATGCACGAGGATATAGACTGAGATATATATGTGGATACGAAAAAGGAATACAGATATGGTTAGAGATATAAATATATATGGGTTACAGATGTGGATACAGGTATATATATTCAATATAGGACTCATATTTATAATATATAAAGTACTCAGCGAGTCAAAAAAGGCAAACCTGGTTTGTGTAAACGAACAAAAGACATGGAGAAATACTTCACAACAGGGTGGTAAGCCGAAATCATTTGACTTTATTAGCCATCAGCCAGACAAAAACTAAAACCACACTGTGAGAACCCTATGCACCCACCAGACTGGTAAAAATGAAAGGGCAGGTGCCAAGTGTTGGAAAGGAGGTGGTAAAAGCACAGCTTGCAGGCTGCTGCTGGTGGCAGATTCACTAGGCAGCCATGAGGATGAGCTCCAACTGCGCTACGGGAGCTGAGCCTCTGCGGGTGTGGAAGTTCTACCTGTATGCAGAGACTCACCTAGACACATCAGCACTATTCACAATGGCTCCCAGCTAAAATCAACTCAGGCATCCTCGAAAGAGGGCTGGATTTCCACCTGCTTAGCTGGGGTATGTCCAGCCAACAAAACTCTGCATGCCACTGAGAATACACGAAGTCTACCACACTTGGGTGGGTCTCAGCACTATGGTATGGAGCAAGAAAACCATGCGAGTCCAGCTCAGACCTGGCAAAGGCCTCTGGAGGGGCAGAACTGGGAGGGAAGGGGAGCTGCTAGAGTTGGGGGCCCATCACCCGTGCTCACTCACCAAGAAATCAACAAGCTGTGTCCTCTAATTCATGCACTGCTCTGTATGCGCCACCTGATCACGTGTGCTGCATTAAGAAGTCTGAAGGGAAAATGGGAAACGACACACACAGTGCAGTGGGGAGGCAGAACTTCCTGAGCCCCAGCACCTTCCCAGGTCTACTGCTGGCCACTTCTCCACCAAGAAGGCGGCTGGGAGGCAGGATCATGTTGGGGCACCGGAGCCCCGGCCACCCTCTCTTTGCCCCTGTACAAGCAAAGGCATTCTGGATGAAGACACAGGCTCACTTTTTAAGACGGGCAGCCTGCCAGATCAGGTAGCAGCAGAGGACACTCACTGGATTTTGGAGAACAAAAGGTGGCCTGAGGACGGCAGCAAACCTTGCAGAGCAGAGGAAGTGGGAAGCTGAATGCCCACAGCAAGGGCTGACAAGGATCTCATACACTCTCCACAACCTACGAAGTTCTCAAGGAGGCTAAGCCCAAGAAGCTTGGATTTCAGGGTAGGATGCCAGGTAGCAGTGGGGCTCTGCTCCCTGCACCCCACACACTGCCTTGCTGGTGATGCTCCCTCACCACAGGTGCCCTGTCCACCAAAGCTTTGGGTTCAAACCCCATGACAGTCTGGAATAAGCTGACACCTTTGCATTATTACTAGCCAGGCCTAAAGCCCATGGATTCTAACTCACGGGGGCCTTATAAAACTGAAAGCAATATGAACCAAACACAAGAGGCGCTCTAGAGGTGTCTCAGTCCCTTGCACCACTTGGGCAACTTCTATGGGTCCAGAGTCTCGTGCACATATCTACCAGTCTGCAGAGAGCCCCCTCCTTCTTGCTAAATGCCTCAACACTGCAGCCTATGTGTGGGCACACACATGCAAGCTCTCCTGGAGGCCGGGGTAGATGTATCCCCCTGCTGACTGTCCCTTGTGTGGGATTTGACAACTGGGACCCATAAGGCTGTGACATTTCGCCAATGCTGTGCATGGCTAATCCCTTTAGAAAACAATGTTATTTTCTTTTCTTTTTGGCAGTGCTGGGGGCCAAACAGGAGATCATGTACCTGCTAAGCTCTACCACTGAACTACATCCCAGTCTAAGAAAATACTCTATGCAAACAAATCATTAATGGTTTTAGGCACCACTGCAGCCAAAGATGCATATGGGTGGGGATAGGTGTTACAGCTAGCCTGGGGACCTCTCTCCATGGCCTTAGCTTGAACTCAAATGTTACCCCATGTAATGATAAATTAGAGACAAGATGTGATACTGCTCTAGGTGTACAAGTGTGCGTACGTGTGTGTGTGTGTATGTGTGTAACTAACCATAATTAATATGCTGACTGCTCACTGAACCCAGGGCTGTCACTAGTCCCTGGCCAAGAAGCTGGAAACTGAGCTCATGAAGATGGACTCAGCTGTCTTCATACTTTGCCCTATAGTCATACGGCCATTTTCCAGGTCCAGCCCTGGAAAATGTTCACTGCCCCACGGGCCATACTTGTGCAGGAGCCAGTGGGCGGC